GGCCAGCGGTAGTGTGAGAAGGGGGATTCCCAGCCCAGAGGGTGGTTGCCCGGAGTGGGGAGACTTACGAGTTGCCCGATCGCCCGGCAGATCGCGCCCCCGTAGTTCGCTACGTCTTAATGCCGTACTTCATTTATCGAAGCCTTCTTTGCTCTCTTATCTCTCCACGACGAATCATCGTAGCCGAAGGGCCTCGAACGATTGCCTTCGACTCCGTCTCTCTCTCTTATTCTTTGCTTATTATCTTCGCTTTCGTTACACGCGCCTACTTTCTGTCGTAAATTCTCGCGCGAACGACCGGGAGCGTCGTATCGGTGCATCTTGATGATTTCTGGGTAAATTCAAGGCGTCCGGTAGATTTATCTGTTGCCCGCCGCGAGAATAATTGGATTTTGAGGGACACGCGGTAGTGCGAGTTTCGAAACGTTCTCGCCTCTCTGTTCCGTCATGTTTTTGGACTAGCGACCGAGTGATTTTGCAGATTGTATTTTTCATTCGAGTCATAGATCCTGGTGACGTATATTCGGCTGCACCCAACGCGTTGTTTACTCCCTGCTCGCGGAAATTTGTCTTCCTGTCCCGTTCCAACCGGTTCAGTCGAACCAATACTGTATCGATAATCTACAGTAGAACCTCTGGCATCAAAAGTCCTTTCGGAAGTAGAAAAATAAACTTATAAATTTGAAAATTTGAGCGCGGATTCCCTCGAACGGAGAACTCCCCAAACGCGAACCATTTTGCTCAGTTTCTCCTACGCTACGATACACCAGAATCTGCGGTTTCTGCGCGCAAAGTTCTTTATATAATTTCAGAGTACATATTAGCTGGCGAAAAAAATCGTCTGTACAATGTCGACGGCGGCTATATACAAAAATTCGTAGTTACGTAAGATAATTTGGCAACGTCGCAGCACACAGCCATCACGTTGTAGCTCAGAGAGCAGGGCGGTGTGGCGTTGTATCGTGTGTGTTAGAAATATCCAGCCAGACGAAGCAAAGAGTTTTCTCCTTCTCCCTCTCAATCTGTGGCTAGCCAAGACCCGAAAAGAAAAGAAAAACGAACGGGGGAAAAAAAAAACTATGGAAGCCTTAGGTTTTGTGTTGCGAGAGGTTCTCTAGTCAGGCCTGTTGTCCCGTTCTGCGACCCACACTACCCTAACCTCAAATCTGAAGTGGTAGGGGTCCAGAAAGACAGGGCGAGACACGCGGGAGTCGAGGAGGAAGGGAGAGAGTAAAGAAAAGATCGAGATGGCGTTACGATTCTCCGTTTCTCTTCTTTTTCATCGGTCGTCTCTGCCGCTCTTTCCCCGTTCGCTTCGTAGCCAAGGGGATTCTGGGAGTTTTTAGAGCGCGGCCCCTCATTGTTGTGTAAATGTGGACCAATGGCGCCGGCAGACGGGGCGCTGTTCACTTTTAAATGCTAATACCGCTTGTACAAAACCAGGTTTTGCGAAATTCGCGGCTTCCTTCGGACTGGAGGATCAACGCTCGCGGTTATTAAGCTATCACGACGCTCGAAAAAGCTTTTGTTTATGCTTGTTCATGCGCCTCACACTCCGAATGCATTACCGGACTTTGCGGCGATGTAAATTCAAACGATCCCTTCTGTTGTCTTTAAATCGCTATCTTATGCGCGAACGAATACTGTCTTTATCGTGCAAAATATGAAATTTTAAGCGGTCCATGCAATTTCTAGTATTCGAATTAATCATCAAATAGTACGAAAGAATTTCAGGATTGTAGGACTTAGCTTCGAAGAATCTCGTTAGAAACTTTTGTAGGTTTTATTTGTCTTCCCACGTTGTTTGTACGCATCGAAGACTGGTACTTGTAGTGTTAAAGTGTTTCACGACTTGTCGCGCGGTAAAAGAGCCGCGACAAACGTTTCACGAGCAGTTTTACGCCTTCTTCGTCGCGGCTGAAAAAGCACCGAGCGGTGTGCGCGCGTTGGATTTCTGCTACGTGTCTCGTGTGCGCGATTACACGGTTCGTTTAACGCGGCAAGAATGATCGCGTACGAGGTTGTCCATCAATTCCGGTGACCACACTCGCTTCATATCCTGTTCCGGGGACAAATAACACGCGGGACTTAATTAAAAGAATCGCGTAAAATCAGTCGAATAGGAATCGGTCGGTCGATTCGCTCGGCGTCGCTCGTTTCCAGTTTCGGACGGCTGCTTATTTATACAGACCACCCGGGAGCAAGATCGCGTTGAAATAAAGTGGTACGAGCTAAATGTTCCTTGACCACGCGCGATCGTGCTCGCGCTGTCTCTCTTTCTGACTCGCGCGCGCGCTCGCTCGCTCACACGCGCGTAATAAATATCCTGCCCGGAATTTATCATTGTTCGCTTTGCTTTATCGCCGGACGAGATTAATGTCTTTATACGGGTCGCGAGGAACTTTCGTCATTTTTGTAGTTCACACCTTGACGATTGCTTGGTTACGGCAAATATTTTCTGCTACCAATGAACTCCTCGTTGTGCCAAGAATGTATTTCAGGTACTATCGGATAGATCTATCGAAACTTTTTACTCCGTTATATCTATGTTTCTTGTGGCATGACTATTAATGAACCTAGCGATAATTACAATAAAATGCTTGTCGCAGGTGAGTTTTTGCGTTTTATCTGACAGTTTAATTGATTGATATGTCTACGGAAAAGTTTATGTATGACAGAGATGCAATAATGTAAATAATTTATCACTATTAATAGTCGTATTCAATTGTCATTGATAAGAATGGGACGCTGCAATACTATTCATTCACGGTTCGTTGGTAGTAATACAGCATTGTTTTCTATTAACATGCCAGGAGTAAGCTGAAGTTACTCGAGACACTCATAAACTATTATAGGTAGTGTGTACATACACAGATATACCATACCATATATCAAATTTCTAAAAAGCCGATAAAAATGTCGGACAAAATAGAAAATTGCAACAAGTTTCCATACCGAAAATTTCCAAATCGACACTTCCACAATATATCGGAAAACAAACATTTCCTGAAACTAACACATATGTCCAATGATTTATTACAAAAATATACTAGTAATATATAGATGAAGCTATTTTCATCTTGCTATTTATTACTATGTGCTTTTGCAGTATATGTGTACCGAAGTACAATTGTGTCCACACAACTGTTTATACACTATACAATATTTTTCTAAAAATCCTATTTATTTGATACTGATTCGCACACATCTGCGATGAAAGATGTTTCTCAAGCTTCCACAGTAACTTCTAAGCATATTCGGCTATAATAAACCAGGATCGACAGGGGACTACAATCACAATTCTCGCAATAAAAATGAACGAAGCAGTTCGAAACATTTTATAGCTCCGACAGATGTTCCATTCGCGACTTACAGCTAACGTTAGCCTCCATCGCGTCTTCGGCTTACAAAGATTCCTCGTGTAATGCGTTCATTGTATCGAGATGGAACCCTCGAGTGCATCAGCTTCCCCTACATCCACAGGCTCGTCACCAGTTTACACACAGTCATACCAAAATAACCGTCCTGAAGTGTAGCTAAAGTTCCAGCAAGCTTTCTTATGCCGGTGAATCGCGGTAGAAAGCCAAAGAACTTTACGAAGACGCGGCCAAGAGAATGAAGACGCTGGCTAATTACGATACACTCGACGGGACACCTCAACTTTCCGCGAGGATGCACGTTGCTTAAGAAGTTTGAAAAAACCTGGGGAGCACTTTTATCCGTTTGCTACATTTTCTACACTATTTTTTGGTCGACAATGCAGACAAGTTTTTCGTTCGGCTCGGTGTATAGTTTTCAAATTAAAAGAATCTTCTAATATTTTGCTTAGACTGTAGACTGTCCCTAGGTCCTATTTAGTTCCTTGCTGACTTCTTCACTGCTTTTCCTGAAAAAAAAAAACGGGTGAGAAAAGTCTTCTATACAGCTTATTCTTATCGGAAGGAAAGTTGGAGTGTACCTGTTTGTGTACAAGCAGTTAAATAAGTATAATTCGTTCCACGATACATTAAAAAGAAACGAGAGGGTGTTACTCTGAAGTACTTCACTTTCGCTGTTCTCCCTTCGTTATTATAACGTCTGAGAAAGTTGCGGATCCTTCGAATTACGGGAGGGTTAAACCGGGACTCGGTTACGGGTCCCCCTCGATCCCATGAGAGATTATTCTCGCATCAGCCTGCCGTTCCCGCGGTAAATTATTCGTTTTCAACTAAAAACGGACAATGGAATAAAAGTTTCCGGCCGAAAGTTTACGCTTCTTGGCCGCATAAATCATGTTGGCGCGAAGTAGCGCGAAAAAAGTTTGCTCGCCGGTGTGTACCGGAGGATGGTGGCAAAATATGAGAACTAATTGTGACGCACTCCTCGGGGAGTTGAATTCCAGGCTGGTTACTCGAGGGGTTGGAATTTTGAGGTGGCCGATATTAGGCTATCGTCTCCCCCGCCCTCCCTCGAGCGTCTAAACTTAAGGAGAAGAAGAAGCGGACGACAGAAAGCAAGGGACCGGCAGGCAACGTAGTTATATCCCGCGCATGTTGCCAGCAACGCCGGTGTGTTTTTCATTTTCTTTATATCACCCTTGACGCTCGTAAAACCATTACCCGTGACCAAGCGAACGCAACTTCTATATAAAATCGTATCGGTGTGCACACGTCCACAGCCAAGCGATCCACGTGGTCTTTGATGATACTGGAACTGCTTCCTTTCTTTCGCTTCCTCGTTTTCCCCCGGCTCTGCTTTCGCGAGACGAACCCAATTTCCTCGGCGACGGCCACCGTTCGACCCCTGCGAGTCTCTTCTGCCTAGCCAAACACCTCCTTTTCTGCAAAAGATTCTTCGACCAAAATGATCTTTGGATTCCATTCGAAGTCGGATGATAGCTTTTCTGTTAGAAAAAATTCTTACTTTCGAGGCTTTTAAAGGAAGGAAAGTTGGAGTGTACCTGTTTGTGTACAAGCAGTTAAATAAGTATAATTCGTTCCACGATACATTAAAAAGAAACGAGAGGGTGTTACTCTGAAGTACTTCACTTTCGCTGTTCTCCCTTCGTTATTATAACGTCTGAGAAAGTTGCGGATCCTTCGAATTACGGGAGGGTTAAACCGGGACTCGGTTACGGGTCCCCCTCGATCCCATGAGAGATTATTCTCGCATCAGCCTGCCGTTCCCGCGGTAAATTATTCGTTTTCAACTAAAAACGGACAATGGAATAAAAGTTTCCGGCCGAAAGTTTACGCTTCTTGGCCGCATAAATCATGTTGGCGCGAAGTAGCGCGAAAAAAGTTTGCTCGCCGGTGTGTACCGGAGGATGGTGGCAAAATATGAGAACTAATTGTGACGCACTCCTCGGGGAGTTGAATTCCAGGCTGGTTACTCGAGGGGTTGGAATTTTGAGGTGGCCGATATTAGGCTATCGTCTCCCCCGCCCTCCCTCGAGCGTCTAAACTTAAGGAGAAGAAGAAGCGGACGACAGAAAGCAAGGGACCGGCAGGCAACGTAGTTATATCCCGCGCATGTTGCCAGCAACGCCGGTGTGTTTTTCATTTTCTTTATATCACCCTTGACGCTCGTAAAACCATTACCCGTGACCAAGCGAACGCAACTTCTATATAAAATCGTATCGGTGTGCACACGTCCACAGCCAAGCGATCCACGTGGTCTTTGATGATACTGGAACTGCTTCCTTTCTTTCGCTTCCTCGTTTTCCCCCGGCTCTGCTTTCGCGAGACGAACCCAATTTCCTCGGCGACGGCCACCGTTCGACCCCTGCGAGTCTCTTCTGCCTAGCCAAACACCTCCTTTTCTGCAAAAGATTCTTCGACCAAAATGATCTTTGGATTCCATTCGAAGTCGGATGATAGCTTTTCTGTTAGAAAAAATTCTTACTTTCGAGGCTTTTAAACGTTTTCAAGAATACTTACATGTGGGCTACCTGATGGGAACCTACTGTACTTAACTGCAACTCATGTACTTCATGAAGTAACTTGCTGTGTAAGAGCACAAACCACCTAATGACGAGACAAACCATTTGATAATGAAGAACCTACTGTACTTCTATGAGAACTTACTGTAACTGCAACTCATGTACTCTATGAAGTAACTTGCTGTATAGGAGCACAAACCACCTAATGACGAGACAAACCATTTGGTAATGAATAACGCTCTATCCATCCGATGCACTCGATCATACCTGACATATTTGATTTCCCGAAATCGAAGGCGACCGTGAAGAGACCACATTCGTCATCATCCGGATAGACCTGCGTTGTACCCGAGTGCAATCGAAATACACGGCAGGACTCATTACACCAGCATATCGAGGCACTGGATCTTGATATCCTGATGTGTAGATAAGTCAGTTAGCGACTCGGTCTAACGCGTTCCAGCGTGGAACCTTTTTTGCGTAGCGCGCCCTCTTATTGCTCTCCTCTCTCTTTCTCTTACTCTTATGCTCACTCCCGGTGGGTGATTCATCATCGGCGTCGTCCTCTCTCCTTTCTCTGGCTCGGCTGGCTGGATGGTCCGACTGGCTGGCTCGCTCGGTTTCTGGCTTTCTGGCCCCTGGACCCCCTGTCTCTTTCTCTCTTTTCTCTATCATCCGCTCTTCTTTCCTCTCAGACCTATATACTCGTTTTACTCCTACACTGGAGCCGTACCAACATGCAGTTCTGGCTCCGCAGGGCGCTCTTTCGCGCTGTTGGCTTATTCCCGCACATTTCTCCGGGCACATCCTGGAGCCGCTGAGGTGGCTGTACTCGTTGCTTGAAAATTTCACTCCGATCTTACGCTTTAGTTCCTGTAATTTTCCTCTGCGTTCGAATATAGTCGCTTTTGTTAGTACATTCTTCAACACCCTTTGAACAATCGTTTTGTGAGAAAAGATATAACACGATTTTTCAGTGTAAAAAGTAATGTTGAGATTCTTGTTGATAGGTACTTATAGAAATTTATTTTAAATGACAACATTTTTGAAGATGTTTCTCTTGGAACCTGTGTTGATCTTCATAAAGTTTGCTTGCTAATTCTTCTACTTTATTTTTTACTTCAAGGTATGTGTTATAGCACAGTTAGAGTTAAAAGATTGAAAGAAAAGCGTGCTTAAATAATTTGTTCATTATGTTTTTGGTTGATGTAGGTTGTTGCCAGAATAAATTTTATCTTCGTTAATTTCTCGTGCAGTTTCAAACATTGTAGAACCAAAGTATGAAGGCAATTTATTTAAAATTGCTTACAAGAACCTATCGTCAATACGCCGTCTTACATAAACGTGGTTTGACTTCTGCCCTGTCGGTTTAGGAAGTTGGCGAGATAAAAGAATATTTTTTCGTGTCCCCCTGCCTAGGCCTATGACTGTTTGAACAGAAGAAGCCTGCTTTACTTTTGGCATTAAGGATATCAGCACAGCCGTTCGATATATCGTGGGATCCCATCGCTTCGAAGCAAGATATCTGCACAGCCAGGTACACCCACTATAAGGGCGAGTACGTGTCGCTATAAAATATACGAAACGATATATTACTCGGCGATATCACTCTCCGGCACGAGGCGATACGGTCATATTTCGCCCGGGAACGCTTGGAAATGTTGCCCCGTGTCGGCGATGTAAACACTGCGGGGGCACGCCAGCCACGGACCCTTCTTATTTCCTCTTTCCTGATGTTCCCTCTCGTCGTCAATTGTCTCCATGATCAAATACGATGCTTTTCCTCGTTCTTCAATGGACGATTCAATTATGCGATACACGGAACCGTGTTCTACCTCTCTATGCTATGATTATTGATAGCATCGCGGGAACCAGCCTCCGCCGCAGCGTGTACTATGTCACACCGTTGATGCTTCTTAACAATGTTTCCGTGCTGGTGTGAATAGTTCTAGGTTCGCGGCAATTTTGCTAGCTTGTGTGAATAGGAAGGTGCGCTATAAAGGAACAGTTAAGTTTTATAACTGTTTGAACCTTGGTCATTTTTCCGCATACCCGAAATAGCTAGGTAATAAAATAACTCAGTTGTGAATCCATCATCGCACGATTCAAAGTTAAACTTTATTTCTTAGACCTCAAATTTTTTCTACTTTCTGAATCTCTACATTTCTAAATTTTCAAATATGTAAATTGTCAACTTTCCGAGCTTCTCAAATTCCTTTTATTATTGTTTTTTCGAATTCCCAAATTCTTCGGTTAAACTTATAGAATCCAACTATGGTCAAAATCTAACCACGCTCGTGCATGCACGCGTCGGATAGCAGCACGTTATATCGCCATTCGTTGTAGACAATATTAAATAAATTTCTTGGAATTTTCCACAAAGCCCCGATTATTCATACAGCCGTATCACGATCGGCCATCGAGTTCGATGGATAGACGAGATAACACGCTCGCCGTTGCGTGTTTCAAGTAAAACTAGTCGGTCCAGGGTGAAATATCGTGAGGCTTTGGAGAGCGGCACGGTGTCAGGAACTCGCCTAGAAGAGACCACCGTTGGTTAGGAAGGTGGGATTCCGGTAATTCGACGCATTCAAGAAGGAAGAAAGACCGATGGGAGTCGACTCGAGAGGAAGAGACACCGGGACTCGAAGCGGAAGCGAGAAGGATTCAGCGACGAAGAGAGATGGCGCGAAAGAGGGGCGGG